GTATGTATTTCTTAATCATTTTTCATAGACATGGCTGTACTTACATCAGTTTAGTATCAAGTCTTTTGTACGATATTGGATACTATTCTGCATCTTGCACACAGTATTGCAATATCAGAAATGTTGCATGACTTTGAACTTGCTGTGCAAAGCTAGGGTAGCTTGCATATTTGAACAAAAACGGAACATCTGTTCTCCCCCCCCCCCCACTTCATTTGAAATGTTCATAGCTTTATATTTCTGTTTATCTAAGTTGAAGAGGCATCCTTGAACTTTTTAGACTACAGTCCTGTGCGCATTTACTAGTAAGTCAACTAATGAACCTTGTGGGACTTATTTCTGAGTATATGTGCACAGAAATCAGGTCTTTTCGGATGAATTACAAAATACAGCCAGTGAATATATACGAACTATGTTGTTTAGAAATAATGCAATTGGCTCTCAAACACTTGCAGGCAAGAGAGCACAAACTATCATCAGAAAGAGTTGTTAATGCTTAAGGCTTTTTACTTCCATATAAGAAGAGTGTCAAAGAGGAAAACTCTCTTTTGGCTTCTAGTAAAGAAGGTGTCTGGGTATGGGCTTCAGTCAAACTGCTGCAAAGAGAGTTGTAAATAGAAACCTGTCATAAACTTTCTTTCTGTACCTCAACAAAAATCCCTGTAGCTGTGCTGTTTGGTCATTTACCAGTGAAATTCATAATCATTGGACCACACATTAAGCTACCTTCAAACATGATGATAAAGCTGTGGCATTTGTGGGTGTCAGATTGCAACCATGTGAGCTTTTCCCATGTAATTATCACAGCAAGTTCTTTCTCTAGCTCACTTATGCTGCAAGAGCACAGCAGGAAATCTCTCCAGCTCCTCAAAGTGTGCTAACACCCCTCTGTAACCTTGAACTCCTATCTTAAATATGCTGGCCATTACATAAAGATGCTGTTGTTTTGGGGTTATAGATTCCTTCCCTCCTTTACAGCAGGTATGGCTCTTAGATGTTGGATTCCTATCAATCCCACTAGCCCGGTTAGGGATGATGGGACTTGTAGTTTGGCACATCTGGAGGCCACATGTTCCTCCATTAAACTTCACAAGTATGCATGTTCTTTTTAAATCCTCTTTTACTATTGGTGTGAGCTATTATTCCTTCTTATCCTTCCAGCAGAAAGCAGGAACTTGGACTCTACCAACCGCAAGGAAGAGTTTGTAAACCTCAAGTCACTAGGGAACTTTTCTGTGTGTTCTGTTGTGACAGAAACTGTGTTTTGCTACAGTCCTGTATATATAAACTTGCAAGCAACTCCTGCAGGTTTCATTGGCACTTGCCCCAAGTAAATATTATTTCAGTGAAATCCTGTTCATGCCTACTCAGAAATAAGTCCACTGAGTGCAATTGGACTTACTCCCAGGTAAGGGTTTCAACCTCAGGAGCATAGTTTGGACATTCTATTTTAGTTATTTTATTTTGCACAGGTTCCTGCTCTGGAGACTTTGCTGAAAATTTGCTTAATTCTTTAAATAGCTAAATGCTGTTCATCATGCTTTATAACAGGAGTGGATACTGCTTGTAACTACACGGCAACAAAAACAAAGTCAGCTGCTCAAAAGCAACCTGCTTTGCTTAGCTGCTGCATGAAGACTATTCTGTGCAGTCTTCAAGGAAAAGTATAATACTCCCTAGAGAAAAACTCATATTTGAAAGGCATCAGGAACACCAATCTGTGCACAGCTCTCCCTCTCTGGTTTCTATAGCCCTATAATGTCCTCTTTTGGTCGTTTAGAGAGAAACAAAAGCCATGCTGTTTGCTGTGAACGTAGATTAAGCATAGATAGAAGAGAACCTGCTCCAGGTTTGAGCTTTCCCTTGCAAAAGTTAAGGGTAGTCACTTAAGAATCAGAAAAAAAGGATAGTGGTTTGCATAAAACTTGCATGTACTAATTTTTATGTAGACTTGCAATTTGAAAACAATTATTATAATTTAATGCTAATTGCCATTCTATTTCCTGTTGCATACTGATGCCTGCATCTCATTCTCCTCCGCTGGGTGTAGGTAGCAGATGCTAACTGATAATGGTTTAACTGTGCATTGAAGATATAGTATTCATGCATTATATTGGTGTATTGGCTGCCAGCTTAGATTTCTTTGTGGAAACCAACAAACAATAAGTATTTGGGCAGGCTAAAGCATTGTATCATCTTGGACAGGACAGTACAGGGGCAAAGTGACAATTGAGTAGGTGTTCATGTCACACCAAGTGATCCTGGCAAGAAACCACATTGGTTGATTGTCACAAGAACAACCCACAGTGTGCTCAACAGAGTGTTTGGCTCGCCATGGGTTGTCACCCCCTCCTTCCGCTCAGCCCACCAGCCAGCTTTCCCAGAGATTGTGTGGCTGAAGCCACTCTCCCTGCCTTGATCAAGAGCCACCTCAGCTTGGTGCCACTTCCTCACCTCATTTGCCTTTTCCTACCCCCTCAGAGATTGCTTTCCATGATCTCAGTTTTGATAGCCACAGAAAGTACCTCCAAAGTGCCCAATTAGCATATAAGAGTTGTTGGTGGTGGCTCACCATCCCCTTTTCATTAAAAAGAGTTTTAAGGGGGAGGGGATGTGTTAAGAGTGGGGAGGGGAAAAGTCAAGGTGAGCTAAAACAGCTCTCAGTCTGGCGGAGGGTGGCAAGCCAGTGGCAGTAATCTGACCATGCTTCTTGAGCATCACTTGCCTGGCTGGCTCTGTCTGTGGTTCAGACAAGCTCAGCAAGAACAATAAAGGGTTTTTTTGCCATTTTTGCCAAGCAATTTGCTTTCCATTGTCCACCACCCATGGTGGAGATAGCCAAGTTCAGATGAATGCCAACCCACCTTGGCTGAAATTAACCTATTACAGAACAGGAGGTCTCAGGGTGGTTTGTCGGGGAAAATAAAAAATAACTTTGGGGAAAGCAATCTGGATCCAAACAATGCAACAATCCACCAGATTGGATTGGTGGTGCCTGGGATCACCAGGTTGGGGAATATTGTTTTACCAAGTGCATGGCATGTTTTCCATGTTTAAAACCATGCAAGAGCCTGGACTCATGCATTGCTCTGGCATGCCCAGCAGCCTTCCTTGAACAGTCATGCTTTGCATGTCATCATAATTTACCTGTATGATCAAGCTGGCTCTACACAGAGATCGCAAGAGTGACAGAGGAGGCTCCTGAATTCAGCAGGAGAGGCCAGACAGGTGGACCACGGGGCTTGTGCTGGCCTGCCTGCATTCCCTCCAGCCAGGTAGACAAGCAAGGATCAGGGCACACTGATGCTATTTAGATTCTGTCTTCAGCAGGGATGGAAGCTTTCCAGTAGTGTGACTCACTGTCAGACTTAAGGGCAACTAGCTGTGTAGCTTTGAAAAGCTGCTTTGGGATTATGGCTCACTGACAGTCGAGTTCCTTGGCAATAGAGTGCCTGAACATAGAAGCCCCCCAGGTCAGTCCCTGGCAACTCTAGTTAAAAGGATTAGAAAGCAGGTGTGGGGGGAGACACTCCTGCCAATCAGAGGCTTCTAGTGCTACCGGTCATTGGGCTTCTGCTGTAAAGTCTACGTGGAATTTCCATGAACTGCCTAAATTAAGGGGAAATGGCTGCTGCAGGCCACATCCTGCTGACCATTTCAGTAAGTGGAGATTTAGACAAATCTTTGCTCCCATTTTTCCTCCCTCTAGTCACATTCTCTTTGTCACAGTTGAGGTGAGGACTTGGTTTCTGTTCCAGAAAGATGCCTCTAGTCCAAACATCGACTGTTGTGCTTTTGCCTCTGTAATTTGGCCCAATTCTAACTAAGACCAGTGCTCTAAAAGTGGAGGGTTAAAGCTTTCCCACCCCCACCAGGTCCCCCTCTGCAGTAACATTTATACCTGCATGCAGGATCTTTTTTAAAAAGACACGTAGCATTTGAATCATTTTCTTAACTCCCTCTCCTTGGAGAGGGGAATTTGAAATTTCAAGGGAGAAAGTGTCAGGAAAGAAAGGTTAACCCTCCTTCTCTTGAAATGCTATGGCCCAATCTGAATTGGGACTCTGTGCACTTGCACAGGAGTAAAAGCACAGCAGTAAACCTTTAGATTTCTAGAATTGTGCCATTCTGAAGAAAAAACAGACAGCAGTTCATGCACTACTAATTTTCTCATGTGCACATTATCATGTACACATTATATACACATCTCATGTACACAACCCTAAAACAACAGCAGGGAGTTCACTTTGTGTGCTGCAGGCAAGTAAAGGCAAGAGCAGCAGCAAGCAGGAGAGGTGCAATTGGCTTTTGGACAAGGGAGCTGAAGCTGTGAGACAGACCTCCAACCCCATCAAATGTGTGCCTGAGCCTGCAAGTTACTTTAAGAAACAAACATTCATGCAATTGTTAGTAGCTTGAATGGCACCTCACCTGCTTTGGTCCTTAGAAGGGTCATTTCTAAGGCCATCTGACCATTGCTTTTCATTCTGCTAGGCCAATCTCCACCTGGGTAGTGACTGCAGAGTAGTGAATTGCTGGTATATTATATCAGTGTCATCTCGATAATTGGCAGTGGACATTCCACAGCTGTTCCATACTGCACTAAATAATGCTTAGATCATCTGTTATCTTGGGCAAGACTATCTGAAAGTCATTTACTTGTATATAAACAGCACATCTGGGTACAGATCAGTGCTATTCTTACCCACAAACTCTACTTTCCTGGGGAAGGGAAAGAGACATCAATAATGCCATTGCCAATCAGGAAAGCTTTCCAATCAAAATGCAAAAATGTATGCAAAGTTAACCAAAAAAATACAGGGATAAATCCAGACTTGGTCTTGATTTAACTAACGTTTCATTGATTTCAGTGGCTCTACTCCATGTTTAACTGGATCCAGATCTGGCCCACCGGCTACAGTTACCTAGTTTTGGATCAAGAATTTTCTCCAGCTAGCTTTGAACCAACTTTGTATGAAAACTTTTCCCCCTTTCTGCAGGCATAACGTGGGGTAAGGTTGTGTCCCTCTATGCTGTGGCAGCTGGCCTCGCTGTGGACTGTGTGAGACATGCCCAGCCGGCTATGGTCCATACCATTGTGGATTGCTTGGGAGAGTTTGTACGCAAGACCTTGGTGACGTGGATGAAGCGACGAGGAGGCTGGGTATGTGGCCGTGCGTATTACAGCCCTTCATAAGGGTGTGAATGTTCACATTATGGAAATATTATTGAAATGAATAATAGCCAAATGATCTTAGGAGGTGTCAGCAGCTTAATGTCTGCAAGCGCTGAGCAAATATTCACCATTCTGGAGCTTTATCGGTTAGGCCTTCTATCTACTCATACCCTGCAGTGATCCTGATTATACTGGCTCTGTATATCTTCCTACAGCTTTGTGTCTGACCTGCAGTAATCCTTGCTATATTTGCCACCAGGTTTCCAGCCCAATTCCACTAACCAGATTTGCTTCTGAGCACAGAGTGGGGGTTGTGTGTGTGCTGATCTTGGTGAGTAGCACCACCAAGTACCTCGTTTAGTTGAGTATCAGGTGGTAGTAAATAACAGATTGGAAAAGCCAGAAGTCTCAAGCAAAGGAGCTTGACCAAGTGGCCTGTGGTACCTTTGAGTAACTAAATCACTTTTAAATTCCACCTGACTTCAGGCATCGGCAGTGTGAGTTCCAGGTGGCAGCATGGAAAACTGCAGGTGAGGTGACAGCCATTGTAACTGGCCGTAGTGCTGTGATATGGAAGACAATGAAAAATCACCAAATTATATTTTCGAAGTATACTCATTGTGGCTGACCAAAAATATAAAAGACCCTTAGTCCCTAGGAGGCCTTAGGCATTGAGAGGGTGCTAGGTCAAACGACTACAGGCATCATGAGGAAGCAAAAGTGGGGGGAGAGAGAGGCCTCCAAAACATGCCTTCCTGCCCTGCCCATCCAGAGAGGGAAATCTCTGGCATTTCCTTGCTGTACAGAGGAGGCTCTGGTAAGGATTTTTTAGTGATTGATTGATTGATTGATTGTGGGGTGGGGAGTAGAGATAGTCGTGGTTTTTCTACTTTCACACATGTGGAGGGCCATCTATCCAGCTTACATACAAATGCAACTTAAAGACAAATTTCTGTTTGCTCAGGAATGGAACTCATTCCTGTATATAAAAAAATGCCTTGAGAATGTACATTGCATCATCCAGTTATGCATTTTCAGTCACCTATAGGGGATGGAATCATGGCCACACATTTAAAATGTGGATTTATCACAGGATGTTTCAAATTTCATGAGATGGTTACTAGCAAAGAAGTATTAAAGAGAATGCATAAATATCAAGAAGTTATAAAGTATATAAAATGCAGAAAGCTAGAATGTTTGGTTATATAATGAGAAATGAAGCATATAAACCAATGCAGGTGATTATGCAAGGGCAAATTAATGGAAAAGAAGTGCAGGATGAAAAAGAGTGTCTCGGCTGAAAGACTTTTTAAGAATGGGTTAGGAGTCTGTACAATATAATTGTTTAGATGTAACTGTTTAGTCATGATGATGTACGACCTTCAGCAGGAGAGGAATGAGAAGAATTTGCCATTGTTTAACCATTGTTTAGATACGTTCGTTTAAGCTATGATGATGTATGCTGATCTTTTCTGTAAAGCCAGTTCTTGTACCTTAAAGCAGGGGTGCAGAATCTCAGGCTCAGTTTGAAGTCCCCACCTTAAAGTTAGTGAACATGGTTGCTGAGGGCTCCTGCTTAACATGTGATGAGAGAGGCATTTATTAAAGATACTGTGGGAAACTCTGGTCAATCATGCCTCACCCATTATGTGAGCACATGCAAGTGATGTTTGTGTACATGCATTTTATTAAGATTGCACATTATGTTAATTAAATCATGTGCAGGCTAACTTTGTAATAAAGTGGTCCCTTTTTTAGGTATGCGCTTGTAGGTATGAGAATAGCATGAAATGTGAATGTAGGAACAAAAACAATGCTGAAGTTTATTGTATAAGCTTTAGGAAGGAAACGGAACAAGGATGATGCTGAGGTCAGTCAAGGGAACCAACTGCCTAGTGAAGTGGCTGGCTCTTCACTATGAAGGTAGTCAAGCAAAGACTGAACAGGCATCTGGCAAGGATGCTTTAAAAACTGGGTTCTTACGGTGAGGCAAAGATGCACTTTGATGGCCTAAAGGGCCCTTTCCAACTCTGATTCTATTTCCCAAGAAATATGGTTAATTTATCTACTAAATACGCATGGCAACCGGATTTCAGAATGATTGGAATTTTTTCTTTGCAGCAGTCATAGTCAATTTATTAAGACTTGTATGGACAGAGCAGCCTACAAGCTGCTCATTAACAGAAGAATCCTAAGCATGTCTACTTGGAACTAAATTCCTCTGAGTTCAGTGGGACCTGGTAAGAGGGCTCAGGACTACAGCTCAAACGTGACAACACATATGTTTATATTTCCTAAATATATTGTTAGGACATTAGTCAGAATAGGACCATCTAAGCTTATATTGGAAGTTATGGAACAAAAATTAAGGAAAAATGAACTTTACATAACAACAAAAGGATAAAAATTGGAGCTATCTGTTGCTGTAACTGAATATATCCCCCCGTTTCTCCCCAGTTTTAGTATCTGCTAATCTGAATGGCCAAATGAGATTGGAAGCATCTCAGCTTCTGCCGACCTGCAGTATCTCCACTTGCTTACCATGTACTATGCATGGGCAGTCCCACTGGTATTCTCCAAGGGATTATGGGTATCTTTACACCAAGGCTGCAGAATCTTTTTCAGCCCAAGGGCTGGATTCCATGTTAGAGAAGGCCATGAGGATACAGACAAAAAGAGAAAGGCCAAAATAGAAAAAATACCAGCATGTTTTAGCCTTCAGCTATTGCTGCCAATAACTGTGCTTAGGAGAGGCATTTCAGATTTTTAAAATGGGAAAAACTGCACCAAAGCCAGGAGACCACCAAATAACTGGTAGCTGGGATAAAGGTGGTGGACTATTTTGGAAATCCTAGAGGGGCAAAGCAAGACTTGCAAAGGGCCAGATTTGGCACCTGGGCCTGAAGTTCCACATCCCTGCCTTACACCCTAACTGGGATACCAGTTGGCTTGGAGCTGTGACAGTACTGGCAATGGTTGTGGTTATGCCAATTAAAGTTGCAGGTTACTGGGGAGTGGAGTGAAGCATATTGTATGTTTGGTGGTACTCTCAGGCTGTCAGCTGAACTTCCCTTGCCTAGTTGTACCAAGCCTTATATGAACACAATAAAGCAATCCTTAAAGTGCAAATATACACATCTTGTAGAGCTGGGTATCAACATCTTAATGTACATTAATGTTGCAGATATAACTATCTTCCCTCCACCCCAGAAAGATACTTGTAAGCAACCTGTGGTTTTGTGGGTCCTGTGTGTTTGACATTTGCTGAAGTTCGTTAAGGACATGCAGACATCTACTCCAGGGCCCAGAGTTTGGGATTTTCAGATAGGTGGATGTAGAACTAATATGCAGAAGTGGTGGTTGCCCCACCCTGGTTCCTGCCAGATGTTTTATTTTACAACTTTCAGCATTCCTGAGTGCAGCTGAGAATTGAAGTCCTAAACAACTTGAGGGCCACATGTTGAGAAAAGCTCGCTAGGGACATGCTGACAGGAAGAGAAGGGTGGGAAGCCCTTTCAAAGGCATTGGCCAGGGAATATTAGAACTCAGGTTGTCATACTGAATATTGCATGTGAAACACTGAGTTGAAAGTGTCCCACTTCTGATTCTATGTCTCTTTTCTTTCCCTTCAGACTGATATAACAAAGTGTGTGGTGAATACTGATCCCAATCTCCGCTCCCATTGGCTTGTGGCTGCCATTTGTAGTTTTGGCCACTTCCTGAAGGCCATCTTCTTTGTGCTCTTACCAGAAAGATGATACCTACCTTGTGAAGCCCCATCTTCTCCTTCTCATGGGCACAGCTGACACAGAAAAAGGGAAGTGATGAGATGGAGAGCTGTGCAAATGTACATTCTGCTCTTCTGGTTTTCCCCAGCTGCCTGATTGCAAAGACTTTTTTTTTTTTCAGCAATGGGAAACATTTCTTCAGCTCACTACTTGTAGTAAGCCCACTTTGTACTTTCAAAGTGGCTTAGGATCTTAATAATGAGGCTGATCAGCTTGTTATTTATGGTTCCCTCTTGTTCAAATGGCATATTTTATGCATTAAAAAGCAAGAAATTCTAGTTGGAGCTGCTGTCAAGAAGAAAACTGTAATACATTAAGTGCTTTTTTGTTCTTCAGTTAGTCAGAAACTCCTAACCATCTCTAAAGCTTGTGTATTTGAGCACCTGGTTGATATTGATATTGATGGAGTTTTCTAATAGGCCAAAATTTTTGGTTCTCTGGAGTAACACAACACCCATAGGTATGGCTCTTTCTGCCCAACAGGGAAGCAGGCAGGGATTATACAACATGGATAGCAGGTCTGTCTATTGTATCTTAGCATTCACTTACATAAGCGATCAAGGAAATAGGAGCAGGTGTTAATAACCCCTCCCCTGGAATTTTATGGAATGGAAGATGATGGAGACATAAATCTGCATCAATATTTGAAGTATTTTAGCAGAAGAAATATTGCCTATTTGGAGCGTAAGACAGCTGCAGTCTTGAAAGGTGGTTAAGAAATACATATAAAAGAGGAAATTTATGTAGGATGCAGGAGATCCCATCAGAAAATTGCATTTCATGAGGAGAGCAGAAAGATACATCAGTGTTTTGTATCATTGCAATGCATTTACTTTATGTAAGACTTTTGTTTCTGTTTCTGTTGTGCTAAACAATAAATGCAATTAAATATCCCAGGAGCTGTACAAAGCATTAAGACAGAAAATCCTGTAGGGCAGAGGAAGAGAAGTAATCATAGAATAGTAGAGTTGGAAGGGGTCAAGAAAGCCATTGGGTCTAACCTGCTGTTGCAGGATACCACTTTCCACCATCCCACCCAGATGACTGCCCAGTTTGTTTCTGGATGTCTCTAATGCGGGAGAGTCCACCACCCCTCTAGGTAGCTGGTTCCACTGCTGCATTGCTCTGACAGTTAGCAAAGTTTTCCTGATATCCAGCCTGAATCTGGTTTGCTGTGAATTGAGTTCATTATTCCATGTCCTATTCTCTGGGTTGAGTGGGAAGAGATCTTGCCCCTCCTTTGTGACAGCCTTTCAGGTACTTGTACAGTGCTATCATGTTGCCCCTGTCTTCTCTTCTTGAGACTTAACATATCCTGTTCACTCAGTCTCACCTCATGGGACTTTGTTTCTTAGTGTCCTAAGAGTGATGTTGTAGGTGGTTTGTGGTTCAAAGGGAACACACAAAAGGAGAACTGACCCTCTACAACCTTCATTCTTTCAAGCACACAGAGTTGTTTCATTCTCTATAGTAATGAGGAAGCAGAAGTAGGCATGCTGTTATTCAGCTGTTAACCCACACAGTAAAGACTCTAGCATTTCCCTTCAATAAGAGTCAGGACCTCCTGCTGACATCTCACCATGGATGACATGCAGGACCTGCATGTTACCTTTTCACAGCTAATTTGACATTCAGCAAGAATAAACGAGAAATGGCACTTCCCATGCAGGGAATGGAAAGCTCTAGCAAGCTTTGTGGATGAACCTGAATATCCAAAGTCAAGTCAAACAGTCTTCATGGTACCCCTTTTAAGCCAACAGAATCAACTAGTGAAACTAGAACTAGAGTTAAGCCATGTCTCTTAGTGGATTCAGCTGTATACATCAGGAGAAGAGGGGACAGACACACACGATCCCCTTGGATGGCGTATGATTCGAAGCCAACTATTAAAAGCACTATGAATCTGCAGGAAGTGGATTCCCTGTCATGTTTTTCTTTTCCTGAAAGCAACTCAAGGGCTGAACTAGGATTTAGTTGGCAGTAGGTTAACCTATTCCTCCATGCCATGTTTTGATTGACACATGCAGCAAAAACAGCATGTAGGCTCACTAGAGCTACCATTTTCTCCAGGCACTTCCCAAATTGCGAACAACCTGTGTTTACAAACTGTTGTAAAGCCTATTAATTTAAAAAATATTGCAAAAATCATCATCATCATACAGAAAGAGTGAGGGGGGACTGAAAGGGGAGAGAGGGAAGGCCTCCAAAGCAGCATCATAGAGAGGAAGCAAAAGAGAGAAGGAGGCCTCCAAAGCATGCCTTCCTGCCCTGCCCATACAGAGAGTGAAATCTTTGCAACATATTTTTGCTGCAAAGAGAAGGCACTAATGAATTTGGGCAGGAAGGAAAGCTAAGAGGTATTCATGTTTTTCCACTTTTATGGGGGTCCTGTGTCCCTAACCCCTGTGAACATGGCAGGCCAACTACGTGATCCAACTTAAACACATTTGGCATAAAGATTAATTTGTTTTCTCAAAAATGGAACTTAATCATAACCCAGGAACTACTTGTATGCTGGTTTCTTGGATTTTGTCAGGCTGTTTACATTCTAAAAGGCTAAAATTTCCCCAAAGGTTAGACCCTGATAATAAGTGCTTTATTGCAACAATCTGATTTGGGAGAATGGGTATTTTTGCCCTTTCACTTTTGGTCCCACCAACAACTGAAATATAACCCCAAAAGCATCTTCAGACTTGATTTCATCCCTTCAGCTGAAAGTGTTTCCCTGCCCCAGTTAAGCCCTGTGGATTCAAGGCTGTAGTTCTACAACTGCTTTACAGACAAGGAAAGAAAATGTCAGGGTAACTATTGCATTCACATGAACCTTTCTTGGCTGCAATATTTCTAAATGTTTTAGTATGATCTATCTTCTTGACATCCTCTTTCCACCCACTAGCGGCTAACTCCCATTAAGCTTCCTTGATTTTCAAGTAGGCATAATGAAATATACTCACATATCCTGTTCATTAAATGAATCAGCGGTACTCATTTGTCATTGTTAATAGTTTCCATGTATGAATTAATCTTGCACTTTAAGGGATGTGGTTAAACGTTAAAGAAGTTCAAAATGCAGGGGTAATTTAAATTTCAAACTTTCTCATTAAAATAAAATGCACCAGGGCATTTCCAAGCAAGAATATGGTAATAATGTTGGCCACAGTTTAAACATGTTAACCCCTTAAACAATTAAATGGGAATTACTCTACAACGCTGGAGGAAAGTAGGCACTTGGGCAAAGCATGCAGATGGATTTGCCATAGGTTTAACTCACTCCATCCACTTGCTGCACATGGACACTTCATGCATCAGGGGATTATGGATGTGAGGTTTATATGTATCTACTCTCCAGTTTTGTTACATGCTACTTGAGAGGAGGATATGAAAACACCCATCTTTCTAATGGCCTTGTACAGTGAGTGCTGTACAGTAGAATTGTCCTTGTGTATGAAAGCTGCACTTGTGCCGGGAAAGCTCATGCTCATAATACTGTAAGCTGCCCTTATATTATCACATTTTCACTTCTGTTTTTAATAGTATGAAAATTGTTAAAAGCATTCAATTGTCTGCTGTTCCTCTTGATGGTTACAGAAGATTAACTGGATTAACAACACTAAATAGTTTTTTCTACTTGGAAATTTCCCAGTTCTGCTGGCATTCATTCATAAAAGTTTTTCTCTCAATTAAGAAAGCTACCTCACAAACTGACCAGGGTTGGGGTGAGGTGAATTTAAGTAATCAGGAGTAGAAGTGTAGGTTAGAGCTGATCCGCAGCGCAGGTGGACATACTGTGTGATCATATGGCTGTGCCCTGCTTGAAGTTCCTTCCACATTTACCATGCTACTACCTGCCCAATTATGGAAGTTCTGCAGTAGGTGGGTGAGCAAGATTTGCATTTAAGGCAATCACAAACACACACCATGTGACCAGCTGCAATGCAACTCAACCTGCTTTCTGGCATGAATTTGCCTTTGTAAGAATCATTGCTAAGTGATACAGACAGGGTATTAATAGGAGACAAAGGATATGTGATTGACCAGACTTTACTATATATTAAAAAATCTAGTGCAAATTAGATAGCATTAGTGCAGAAAGAATCATGCTGCCTGCCTCTTTAAAGCTCGGAAAGCCATCTTGAAGAAGGAATAGGGTGCATTCTGGTGGTTGAGGTGTGGAAGGGACTAGGACTTCAATGTATCTTAATGGTGTTCAAGCCTCCTTCCCTACCCCTCCAAAGTACTTTGCCAGATAACAGAAGACAGATGTCTAGCTAAAATGCAGAGTGGGATGTGCAGGAAGGTGGAGCTTGCCTCTGCCACTCCTCCCTCTCTGCACTGGATGCTCATAGCTTTTTGTGTTTGAGGGCTTAACGCGCATCAGGGGCAGAAACATTAAGATTGCACTGTTAATGAGCGACTACATAATCATTCCTAATACTACATAATACTATTCAGACACATACCCTTAAAAATAAAGACATTTTAATCAGAGTTGGGAGGGTGGTTGTTTTAGGTCTAACATTACAGAAATGTCAGAAGAAACTCCTTCAGGGACTGCCACTTCTGTCAGGCATGCAAAGTCACTATGTCCCGCTTCCCAGCTGCTTCCATTCTCATCCATGCTTCTGTGGTGAAACAGCTCTTTGTTTTAAGGAGTCAGTTTCTTGTAGGTAATGTGAAGGTGCTGAGTCATTGGCTGTGTAGTGGTTGCCATGGAGACAGTCTGTTCTAATTTTCCATCGGAATTGAGTCTGAATTTTCTAGTAATCTAAGAGGAAAAATAGAAAATACATGGTTAATTTTTTGATCCTTACATAATTCAAGAATCAAAACAACAGCAGGGAAAATCCACGAGGAAAGTGCCTGAATAAACCTAACTATTTCCTCAGTACTTGGAAGCAACTTGGCAATCTTAGCAAAACTGCCGACAAAAGACTTAAAGCTTGTTCAAATCTAACTTTTTCCCAAAATATAGCTTGTTACCGTGAAGTGACAAGTAATATATCTAAAAAATCAGCAAAAGCTAAACCACTAAAAATGGGGGGCAGGGGTTAGAAGTTCTTGTATACCAGAATCTAGGGCTGGCCCAAGCCCCCCCCCTTTTTTTTTTAGCCAGAAGCTGAGCAAGCAATGTTGCTTTCCCTGGTTTCTCTCATGCATAATCACCATACTTCCCAGACTCTTTCTCTCACACATTCCACAGTCATTTCCACCACCCACACACAAGCATATACTGCATTCATCCAATTTTTAAACTCAGAAGCACAGACCATGTCCGTCTCCTCCACAACTACCCTGGGTTAAGAGAACACTGCATGCCACCCAAACCATTCCAGTCCAAAACAAAAACAACCTCCATCAGGGCACTGCTTTGTTCCCAAGCTTCTTCATGCCTTGCACTTGCCCCTAACACTGCAGAAAAAGGACCACAATTTTACAAGCCCCTTGCTTTACCATAACCGCCTCCCCCCAAGACCCCCTCATCTCTTTCTTTCCTAGGAAACTGTTGTTGCTGGAGGACTGCCAAAGAAATAATCACAGGAGGCAATACATCCTGCCCCCACTTTAGACATTGTATGTTTTCCTGCTAATCCAACTTCTCTCTCAGCACTCCAAGGCTTTACATGGAACCTGTGCCTTACATAAAAATATGGCCTATGCATGTGTGCAAGTGTGTGTAAACATATTTGAAAAATCTGAGCTCCCATATATGTATTTCCTCTTCATACTGCAATCCTTAGTAACCCCCTTTGAAGGTGGTTGGATTAGTTTCATGAGACAGATATGTAGTGAATTTTACTGCAGATTTTTGCTGCCCTGCATAAATGTAAACCTGAGCTTTGACTAGGAAGCTTGCAGATGAATTTTCTGTACTGAAATGCAGTCTATGCTGTGCATC